ATTTGGTACCAATTTTGACATTTGGAAGTATTGCGTACGCGTGAAAGAAATAGACTAATTGTCATCGGTATTTTACAGGCAAGAAGAAGGTACATTTTTTTTTTGTTCAGCAAGAACGTGAAAAGTAAAGAGATTTTATTTGATATTTTAGAAAATGGCTTTCGGTGATTATCCAGCGGAATATAATCCAAAGGTTCATGGTCCTTACGACCCTGCCCGCTTCTATGGCAAAGGTAAAATAGTTTGACAAGCAAAAATTACGTAATGTAATTTACGTTCATTCTGTTACCTAAGTTAAAATATATTTATATATTTTTCTTTATGCAAAAATAACATGCTCCAATGTGTTTATTTGTAGCTGATGTTCCATTTGGACAAGTGAAACTGGGTGAATTGGGATCTTGGCTTGGACGCCGTAACAAGTCTCCAAGCGCAATTGCTGGTGCTTTCAGCCGTGCCTGGTGGCGTTGGCAACACAAATATGTGCAACCAAAACGTGCTGGTATTGCTCCATTCTTTCAAATCACATTTGCTGCCATGACATTCTTCTATGTCATCAACTACGGAAAAATCATTCACCACAGAAACTACAAATATCACTAAACTTTAGCTTTACTACTTGCAGTTTATCGGATGCGTTAGTGCTAGCAACTAAGGGCTATCTTCTTTCATTAATAATTTGGGATTAAAAAAAATTATATATATTTTTTTGTTTTCTGAATAAATTAGAATAATTTGCGCCGAATAAAGAACGTGTTCCGAAGTTATATGTAAAGTTTTCTTCTTATTTTCCAAACTGATTTCCATTGAAGTTGAATAAGTACACAATCAATCACGGAAGTCTATAAAGTCATGTTCTTGATTCAAAATTTTTCGGTTTAGAAGTATTCCACGCCTTAGATAATTGGGTTTTTTCCTTGGATTTGGCCAAATAAACTACGTCATTCATGGTCAATGTTTCTGGCTATCCTGTGTTATTTACAGCAATCTTCATTATTTTTCTTTTGAAAGATTCAGCAGCAATAGGACGCATCTTTCTACAGGTTATATATCTTAATACTTCTACTTGAAGCTAATAGGCTTACTTTTAATAAAAGACATGCAATGCGCAGTAAGTCTAAATCAAATAATAGATCTATATCAAATAGTAGATCTATATCGAGCAGTAGGTCCACATCGAGTAGTAGGTCTACATCGTGTATTAGTCGTACATCGACTAGTAGGCATACATCAACTAGTAGGCAAACATCAACTAGTATGCGTACATCGACTAGTAGGCATACATCAACTAGTAAGTCTACATCGAGTAGTAGCTCTATATCGAATAGTAGGTTAACATCGAGTAGTAGGTTTACATCGAGTAGTACTTCTACATCGGGTAGTAACTCTACATCGACATTAGTGATTGTTTGTATTGTGACAATGGAGTATTGCCTTTTAAGACAAAATACAATAAAAAGAATTTTTATAGCTTAAATGTGATCAATGTTTTCTCTATAGGAAGATAAATATAAGACTGGGTACCTATTTTTAGATATTCTATTTTTTATATAGAGTTTTATGTGCCAAATTATCGTGCGAAATAAATGTTTATACTTGACTTAAGGTAAGAATATTTGAACTTGAAGATCAAATTTGAAGTTCTGTGCCATATGCAACATTTCTTTACGAGTAATCATGAATTGTTACGTGAATTTTATACTGCAGTGTAAATGAGATTAGCGAATGGTACATCATCAGGTGTGTTCCACGAGCTACTCGTAGTAAAACTCAAGTAAAATACAAAATGAGAGCGTAACACAAATAATGTGCCAAATTACGCTCTTTACACAGATTTTCATGAAACAGCTTTGTGTAAAGTCTGGTGAGAACACCAGTGCCGCGCAAGTACACAATACAAAAATTTAAATTCAAACCAAAACAGCTGATTCATACATCAATACACATTTTACTTGAAATAAAATGTACGAGTAAAGTCTGTGAAGCATTTTCAAATTTCGACAGGAATGTTACGCTCTCTCAGATGCTTTCATTTACTCGAAAATTTGTTGGTGGAACACACTTGTGTATACACAGTGTTACTCAAAGTTACTACGAGTAGCTCGTGGAACAGAACAGATTTTTACTTGAAAACGTTACCGTACTTACTATGTAAACTGTTTTTCTCAGAAAGAAAATAAGTTTTCAAAGTCAGTTTTAACTTAATTTGACGCATGCGCTGCATGTAACTCCTCTCAGGAAAAAATATTAAAGTAGTATTTTTATCTGAGATGATTTTTTTGGTACCAATTTTTTTTTTAAACTAAAAAATGAAAGTTTGATCTTCACTGCAAAAATGATCAATCTAAATGAAATGTTTTGAAAATTAGTACTAAAAACATTTTAGAGATATTGGTGTCGGACACGTTAAATTTTATATTCTGTAGATAAAATCACAACTGTCAAATTGTAAAGTTTGAGATTCACTGCATAATTATTCAAGCGAAAATTAGTTCTAAAAACATTTTAGAGATATTGGTGTCACACGCGGCAACATTGAATGCAATTGTTAAATTGTAAATTTTGCAACAAATCGTATAATTTAACAATTCACTATTTTTCTATTGAACTTAAAAATTAAGACTGTAAATATTTAAAAATATCAAAACTTTAGACCAAAGAAGATTGAAAAAAGAAACTGAGAGTTACTCGAAAAACTGTATATAAAATATAATGGATAATTCAAACAATATTCAAAATTTTAAGTAATGAGGTGAAAATATTACGCAGTACAAAAACAAAATGTCAAATGCTACGCAATGGTAAGTAATGATTTTCCCCACCCGGTCTTGTTATTTTGCCCACCCGGTCTCTGGTTGGTTGGTTGGTTGCAGTGGCAGGTCATAAGATAACTTCAAATGTACCTCAATTAGCGATTTTTCGCCGTTTTGCTACCACACTCCTCGCAAGAACCCCAGTATAGAAGAGCAGAGACTAAATCCATCCCACCGAATTTAGGTAATTTAACAGGTCTTTCATCCTTACCATTGAGCAGTCTGATAGACTATCACAAAAATATTTTCCTAAGAACCTATATCTTCTGGATGCTAGAGCTGGGCATTCACAGAGAAAATGTATTATTGTTTCTTTCTCCCGCGGGTTTCCACAACTTCTGCAGTGAGAGTTATGGGGAATACGCAGTTTCTCTGCGTGAGTTCCTAACCACCAATGACCGGTAAGAACCGCAATAAGCCTTGCAGTGTTTACGCGATCTTTTTTGATGAGTTCCAGAGATTTATTTTTATTATAAGTGGGCCACGTTAACCTGGAAGTTGCACATGACCTTAGTGCTTTCCATCTGTTATTGGCGAGTTGCAGAAAGTAAAGAAAGGTACTTCTTTTGATGGTCTCCAGGGTAATATAGACTGATACCGCCAGTGACGCATCTAGGGAGGCACCAGAGCGGGCTAAACTATCAGTTTTCTCATTCCCTACGATGTTCCTATGCCCAGGAACCCAAATGAGTGTGATATCAGCCAACCGGTTTAGCTCGTCGATTGCTTCTCTACATTCTTTTACTATTTTTGATTTTGTTATAAAGGATTCAAGAGCTTTAATTGCTGCCTGACTGTCAATAAAAATAGCAACACTACATCTGTTCTCGATGTGGCTTGCAATTTGCCGACAGGCTTCTTTTATTGCTAGGATTTCAGCCTGAAAAACCGTAGCTTCGTTAGGTATCCTAAGAGAGATATTTATATTTTTAGATGGTGCGAAGATTCCTGCTCCTGCCCCATCGCTCATTTTCGAGCCATCTGTATATATTTTTTTCGAAATTTTTCCTTTTCCACTCATTTCTTGAAGGGAATATTGTCTGGAAGTTCCTTTCGAAGTCTATACACGGATTCAGATAATCCGATGTCATCCTATACAGACAATTTAGAACTGTACCTAGAATCCGACTATGTCCATATGTTCGTTTTAACCATACGCCTGTTACTTTCAGTCTTACAGCGCTATTACAAACCATGTTTTTAATGTGAAGATCAATAGGTAGCAAATGCAGCATCACGTTTAGGGCGTCCGAAGGAGTCGTCCTAAAAGCTCCTGTGATGCCTACACATGCCGTCCTCTGAATTCTGTTAAGTTTGCCGGTCTCTACTCACCACGATGTTTGCATTTTCCGAGAAATTTCGTTGTTTGTTTTGATTTTTTGACGTTACAAATCCGTTGAGAGATTTTTTTGTTATATTACACAAAGAGGCACAATGATTCAAAATTTCCTATTAGTTTCTTTTCTTTATCTTCTTTGCTTTAAGGCTCAGTTAGACGGTAGGTAACGTAAGAAATTAAATCGAAACGAAATGCACAACCAACCAAACCTGCGTATATGATAGAAACGAAATAAACAAAAACGGTGTACTTTGTTTATTTCATTCCTATCAAACACACAAGTTTGGTCGGTTGTGTATATATTTTTGAATTAATTTCTTACCTATCCTCTAACTGAGCCTTTAAACTTTGTTTATTAGGCGAGAGTTCAAGTAAATATATATAAAAGATTTTATTATTTAGAATAATTATAAATTCCCTTTTTTTATAATATGTCTGTTCTTAAATTATTTTAAATTGTTTCTTCATTGACATATATATTATTAATAATAATTCATTTAGTTACTTGTTATGCAATTTCAAACTTCGTATCTGGTAGATTTATAGACTATATACGCAATATTCAATATATAAGATTCAATATTTGTGTATTATTACTTTTGTAACCCACTATATTGATTTCTTAAACTAATTCATTTTAATTTCTTTGTGAAAGTATCGATTAATTTAATATTTTATTATTTGTGTGATTGAAGAGTCAATTGTTTTATAAAGGAATGTTTTAAAGTTTTCCAATAGGGATTTGAGAAAGCTTTTTTTTATATAAAAAATTTCTTAAATGCAATATAAATATAACTATTGTGAATTATTATTATTGCTATATTATTATTGTGAATGCTACAAATAAACGAATGTCAAAAAAATTCATTTGCCAGAAATTTTAAAGTTAGCGCTGGAACTTGCCGACACTACTTACATATTGATAAAAATATTTAGTAATATTTTTTTGCTCGCTACACACACTGCACAGCGATGGAATCTAATAATGTTAAGCGTTTGGATGGTGATACAATAACACCACAAATAAAAGGTCCAAATGATGAATTATTCCAAGCGGCAAATAAAGCATATTTTAATGGGTTCCGAAAGATGGGTGTTATACCAAGACCTTCCGATATAATAGAAACACATGAAACGCTTCCACACGTATGTGCGCAATGTTCGGAAGCATATTCAACTCCACATTTATTGGATATGCACGTTGCTGAAATACATGATTCTTATTTTGAAGCACTGGTCCGCAAAGGTGAGAAACCGATGTATGCGTGTTTCTTCATGAACTGCAGCATTAAATCCTATAGCTACGCTGAACGTAATAAACACTGTGTGAAGGTACACAAGTTTCCAAAAAATTTTAGATGGTTTCAGTTGCGTAAAAAAGAGCAAGAGCGTCAAGCTGATATGGATCCAAAGAAAGAGCAAACCAATGATAATGTTGCAGCAGCAAAGGTTGAAAAAGCCGCACCTTCACATTACAGAAACTTCACATTTGGTCATCATAGGGTTAAAGCCTTCCAAGGCACAACAAATCGTAAAGGTCCTGAGAAAACGGTTAAAGCCTTGGAAAATTTAACTGAAATGAATGATGCATTAGATGAAGTCTAAACATTGCATTTCAATGTTTTCAGCAGTTATTTAATAGTTGAAATATTTATTTATAATTTTATGTTCATGAAATTTTCAAACGAAAATACAAAATTAAGTGAATTAGCAATTTTTTAAATTTACATTGTTTTTATTTTTATGTAATAGAACTTATTTTTGTTGTATAAATTAAGGGCGTAACTGCTATATTCAACATAGCAGTCTGCACTCCACTTTTAAATAAACAATTTACTTTGCCTTCGCGATTCTGAAAAAAAAAATATTTTGTCATATATTAGAAAAACATTTAAATAGCAAATCCTTACTTTGCAGTATTAGCATTAATGTAATGGTAGGCGACCACCAACAGAAATAGAAAGACTCCGAGAACGTTGGAGAAAACTGCTAATTGGACGTCAGTTATCATCTTTGCTTGGAATGCTGCAAAAAAACAAAACAAGAACTTCAGAGACACGTCATTTACAAATTTACTTTCATATGCGCTTTTATAGAAATAATTAAATATATATGTCTACTTAAAAGTTAAAATAAAATGTATTAAATTTTTATTTAAGCACCTTTATTTATTATCTATAAATATAAATATTGACTTCACCGGTGTGTATTAACTATTTTTGTTAATGTCGTCTTCAGCTTTACTGTTTCGATATTTTTTTTTATCGATTACTACTAAATGTCATATTTCAACAATAAAAGTGCAGAGAGAAATCGACTAGAAGTCACTACAAAGTTAGTAAATTTGACGTTTTCGATTGGGTTATTTGGCGAAAACAAAAAAGGCGAGTTTAGGTAAATTGATAGTAAATTGTGGGAAATAGGGTGTTAGGTGTTACAATCGTAAAAATTTTGTAATACGTTTAATAAATATATAAATAAATATGTTATATACATAAGTGCAGTGCAAAAAATTCCTAGGAAATTTCAATTTACACGGACTCGCCCACGGCCTCAAATATATATTTCATTTAATCTGATTTAGAATGAATTACGTTTTAATTGATAATAATTAAGGTCTGTTATACGTCGTTTACATTGGCCGAAAATGGCTCATTTTGGTCAAAAATCGAAAATGAGTATCGAATGGCTCATTCTTGCATATAAAATTTCAAGCACAAAATGAGCAATTTTCTCACATTCTGTATGAATGACGTTCGAATGCATTCCACATATGTTCCAAATGCAAAGGAATCTATTGAACATACCCTAAATAAAAGCTCTTCATGGCATTTTGACAGTTTGTAAAAGCTGTTTTGACATATTTACAAAAAAAGATAAACAAATGTTTAGTAGTTTTATTTCAGTTTGAATTGTTACCATGAGAACGAATGAAATACAACGAATGTAAACACTTTCAAATGAGTCATTCAAAATGAGCCATTTTCGGCCAATGTAAACGCCGTATTAAGGTCCGTTTAATATTTTTATTGAGTATGTTCAGTGTCGAATTCTTACAAAATTCAAATGGTACACTGCATTTTATTAATAATAATAATTAAGGTCTGTTAAGGTCTGTTTAATATTTTTATTGAGTGTATTTAGTGTCGAATTCTTACAAAATTCAAATGAAATACTGCATCTTATTAACAATAAATCCAGTTATTTAATGATTCTGAAACAACAATTGCATGACATTTGTCATTCGTACTTCAATTAATGTTATTATTTACAGTTAATGGGTTTAATTAAATTAGCTTTATATATTTTGAAAATAGATGTCTAAACAGAATTCATATAATATGGTGTTTACATTGACCGAAAATGAGTCATTTTGAATGAGCCATTTGAAAGTGTTTACATTCGTTTGTTCTCATTTCAAACAGCTGATTTTTCAGCTTGCCTGTTGATTTGATTTTTGGCCTGTGCCAAAAATCTGTTGTAAGAAGATTAAATTTGACTTCAAACCTTACAATATAAACTGAAAACATGTTTTTAACTTCGATTATTCTCTTTTTGGGAAGTAGAAGTTCTAAAAAGAGGTACATCGTTTTCAAGAAAATGCAACCATCAAACATTTGTTTACATTTTTTGTAAATAAGTCAAAAACAGCTTTCTCTAACTGTCAAAATGCCATAATGAGCTTTTATTCAGGGTATGTTCAATGTATTCCTTTGCATTTGGAACGCATGCGAAGGACGTTGGGACGCATTCATACAGAATGTGAACGGAATGGTTCATTCGCGCTTGAAATTTTGTATGCAAGAAAGAGCTATTCGCTTCTCATTTTGGATTTTGGACTAAAAAGAGCGATTTTCGGTCAGTGTAGGTAAATGCCGTATAAGAGTGACATGCATTACATCATACATGAATGTTAGTTTATTTTTGATTAAAGTTTTAAATAATATATTAAAAATTTCCGATAATATATAAATAAATAATATGTATTTTTTATTTATATAATTTAAATATATGTAAAAAAAATATATTAATAAATATATATATATATGTAAAGATTTTTTTCCTGTAATGACAATGTTTTCTAACTTGTTTATAAAATATATATACAAAAGTTGCCCACTGTGCTCAAAGCACATTCGTTTACAGTTTTTTTTTTTACTTTATTCTTTTTTCGTAAATAAAAACATATGTTTTTAAATTCTTCTTCTTATTCTTTTCTATATATTCATAAACACACGTGCAGTTCGACTTTTAAATTTTAATTTATTTTTAAAATAATAAATGTTTAATTATTATTTGAAATAAAAAATTATTTGTAAAAGTCATAATGTCGAGCTCTTCTGACAGCGACTATGACGTCGAGCAATACGTAAAGCCAACACGCGTAAGGCGAACTGTAAATGATGACACCGCCGATTTGTTAGGAAATTTTGACGATGAAAAACGTAAACAAATATGCGATGGCACCTATGAAGAAAAACATTCTGAAGGTGAACAATCAATGTCTGAAGATGAAGATAATGAGACAATAGATGAAAATGCTGTAAATAACAAATCTACTAGTGATAATGAAGTGGATTCTGCGACGGATCCTAGTTCTAAACAGAATGGTGGCTTGTCCAAAGAGCAGCTACAATCATTGCTACGTGGTGCCTCCAAAGTGAATCGACACGTGCTCTATGTAACGAATTTAAATTTTGATACAACAAAAGAGGATCTGGAAGCGTACTTTAGCACAGCAGGCACAGTTAAATCAGTACGAATACCAAAAAAACGACGCGGTGGGTTTGCATTCGTGGAAATGTTGGATATTGAAGGGTTCCAGCGTGGTTTCCAGTTGCACAACAGTGAATTGCATGGGCGAAATATAAAAGTGCAAATATCTGAAGGTGGAAAGAAGAAATCAGCCAACAAGAAAAATATAATTAAACAGAAAAATCGTAAATTGGCCGAAATGCGTAATGAGCAAAAAACTTTTACGAAGAGTGGTAAATTCTATGACAAGGATCTGAAAAAAGAAAAGGCCAAGGAACTCTTAGCACGAAAACGTTGGCGTAAGAAGCCAATGAATGGAAGTGCGAAAACTTAATACAAATTAAAGGAGTTTTTAAATTTATTTTATGTTTTATAATTATTTAAATACTTAAAAATATTTACAATATAAATTTAAACAAAATTCTAAATTAATTCAACCAACGTATTATGTAGAAATTCTTTTTCCCTACTCTCAATAAGGACAAATTATTTTTAAGTACGTGAATACCGTGTGTAATTACTTCTGCTATATTTTGTGTACGCTTCTGGTTAATGTAAAATCCACCAGCGGTTATGATGCGTACAGCGTCAGCTAAATAGAATCAAAAATGATTAACATAATCTGCAAAATAGATTTTTTTTCAACTTACATTCTGTGGGAAAGCATTTCGCTTTCATAGCCAATTGTAAAATTGACATACCAGGCTCTGGAAGTATGTCTACGAGTGTGGCACCAGCAAAAGTTTGTGTAATTTCTGTATAATTAAGTTCACCTAATCCTTCAACATTTCCTTTGTACAGCGCATCTGTCACACGTTCAGCTTGTTTAAGACCACTCTCTATAAATGTTATGCTAGAATATTTAATAACACATTAAAGTTAGCTACTACACTGACCTCCATGCACGAGCAGTGTTACATCTTCTGCCAATATAGTTTGTGCTTTGCGCTTTTCTGGTTCCTTTCGATGATTACTCATTAATTCCTCAATATCTGACAGCGGTAAAAATGTAAACAACTTAAGCAATTTCTCTACTTCGGAATCGGGTGTGCGTACAAAAAACTGATAAAGTCCAAAAGTAGAGGTTTTATCAGCATCCAACCACACTGCGTTGCCAGCAGATTTGCCAAATTTATCACCTTCCTCATTGGAAACAATGGGAAGTGTCATACCAAAAACTTCTTTGCGTGCTGTGCGACTGATCAATTCATGTCCGGTCATTAAATTACCCATTTGATCCGAGCCACCCATTTGAAAACGACAATTGTAATTATTGCAAAGATGTAACCAATCGTAGGCTTGAAAAATTTGATAGGTAAATTCGGTAAAACTCATGCCAGCTTCTGATTCTAGACGTGTTTGCACTGAGGAACGAGATAACATGGAACCTAAACGGAAATGTCGACCCATATTGGCAATAAAATCTACAAAATTTAAATTAGCATACCATTCGGCGTTGTTGACTACTCTGAAGAAAAGGTTCCAGATTATTAAATGGCTTGATTTTTTATTCTAAATGATTTTATTACCTCAATTCTGGTAATTTTTGTCTATGTTTTTTATCGTCCCATAACAAGTCTTGATGATTTTGAAAAATACGTTTCAATTGATTTGTAATGCCTTGTAAATTTTCTTCAATTACAGTGTGGCCCAATTGGTTGCGCTCAGTCTTTCGTCCGCTAGGATCACCAACTAAACCTGTTGCACCACCAACCTGAAAGTAAGAATGTTTATTAGGTTATATGCAGTGAAAACTCACCTAAAGATATACATATGTAAATTAAATTCACTTTATTATTAATTGGAAGAATTTAATCGCTTTTGGTTGGACACACCATTTGAACAAACAATAGTTGATTGGGTATAAGTATCCGCTCAAGAGTTATTTTCAAACCTATGCACTTAGTACATGCTAAAGTAATTATATAGCGTATTCCCAATGCTAAGTCTCTCAGTGCTAGCATTATACGCAGATGACACGTGCATGTTATATTCCGATAAACATGCCAGAAATATAACCAACACATTGCCGGTGCATGTTAATCTCATCCTGGAACTCTTCCAGAAATGGAACACTAAAATAACAATGGGAAAATTAAGGCCCCGTTTATAACTCGTAAACACAGGCAACATTCACCGAGAGTGAGAGTTGGTGACATTGCGATAAATTGGGAGGACAGTAGCAAATACCTGGGAATCACGTTTGATAAGCGGTTCACTTGGCACAAAAACACTGCAATGCTTACAGCCACTTTTTAAACACAATAATTTTAGCGCTAAGAACTGAAAGTTGATCTACGACCAGATAATCAGACCGGTACTACTCTAAGGGTGTGTTACGTATAGCAAAGCTGCCAACTTTACTATCTAAAAACTACAAGTTGCTTAAAATCAGGATTTCTGAAGATTTTTCAAAGTGCCATGGTATATCCGCACGAATAACATGCTAAGAGACCTTAGAATAGACTCGATCAAAAAATATATAAGGAACAGAGCTCTGTAGCTATACGCGAAAACTTACAGGCTGCTCTACATAGCACTATCTAATCTCAGAGCACTCACTAGCAGTATCTTAGATCAGTCAGCGTATAATCAGCGAAGCTTGTGAGGAATACATAAATTAGTCAAAGAGAAGGGAGGGACTCTATAGATACTCCCCAGCTAAGAAAGAGCTGGGTCTGAATCGGAAAAAACTCAACATAAGACTCTCAATATTTTAACCAAACAGGCAGTGTTAGTTATACAAAACATATTACATAAAATGATAAATAATTTATCAACATACCAATATATCATTTTAAAAATTAGCAGCCATTTACACCTTATAGTCCCCACTGATATTGTTATTATTGTAGGTTATAACATAATAATTACTCATTTATATACAAGCAACCCTTATATGTCAACATACTTACCAATGCTATTGGATTATGTCCTGCTCGTTGACAATGCAATAGTCCCATTATAACTAGTAAATTTCCAACGTGCAAACTGCTCGCTGTAGGATCAAAGCCGGCATAAATAGTTTGTGGTGATTTTTCAAACAATTTAGTCATTTGAGGTCTGCAGAAAGGTAGGTAAAGAAATAAAATAACAATTATATTGAAAATAATATAGAAATGTCTTTACCCTGCTGTGTCTGGGAATAAATCCTGAAAAAAACCACGATTTGAAAGCGAAAGCAGGTTACGATTTGTAAAACTTTTCCGTTGTTGCAAAAATCTGCATTGAGCAGAAAGAAATTTTAACTTAACACGAAACATACTTAACTTTTAATATTAAAATAAATTTAGATTTTAATTAATGTTTTATAAATATTAAATTTACACCAAATGCATTGGAAGATGTGTGGTTATATGAAAAACATATGTTGACAACGTAACAAACGTAATGAACCAGACGTGCAAATACCAAAGCAGATGTAAATGTGTTTAACAGTATACGTAAGTATTTAATTAGCTTAAATTAATAATAAAATGTGTAAAAATAATATATTTTTAATAAATAGAAATTAATTTATGTATTATTTATAATTAAAAACATTTTATTGCTTAACTGACTGTTACGTAGTTTCGAAGTTGTCTTTCCTATTCTTTACAAGTGTCAGCTGTTTCGTTACGTTATGCCGCATACATGCGCACTGTTTTGTTTTATTTTTTTTTACATTTTTTCTAACAAAATGCAATCAGCTGTTTGTTACGTATTCTCCGGTTTTTGTTGTTATTCACATTTCACGTTTAAATATTTGGAATAAAATGTTTCGTTTACGTTGCTATTATAAAAATGTAAATAAAAATCTGCAAATTCTTTTCAAAGAGCAAAGATGTAGCAAAGCTACTAGTTCCATAATAGATAAAAAATCAGATGCAGTTAGCGCAGGAGGAGAGCAACGTGGTTCCACTGTCAAAACGGCGTCAACGGACGTAAAACCAAAAGCACGTTTGCCATTAGTAAAAACATTCTTCTTAGGCGAAGTGGATAAAGATTTATTAGCCTTTCCCGAAGTTATAGTTCGTGAGGATATGACAGACTTACAAAATGCGATACTCCCGTTTAAAGGATTCTTTAAAAGTGAAGAAAGTAAAACCTTAAACACAGATACAATGAATCAGATAAAGGATTTGGGTTTATATGGCATAAATGCACCTATTGACAATGACGGAAAAGGTTGGGATTGGAGTGCTAGCTTAATAGCAAGTGAACCAGAATCAGATAATATGGAAGCTGCTTTAGCTTTATTATCACATCGAGTCATCATTGATATATTAAAAGAGCAGGGCAATGAAGCACATCAGAAATTTTTACAACAATTAACCAACGGTAAGTATGATCTAAATGTGTATATCTATATATATAATATATAAATACGTTGTTATTTTAAAGGTGATCTTGTTGGAGCTGAAGCAATTTTTGAATATAACGTACCAGAATTTGATTTTTTCAACACAAAAGCAAAACCAAACCTAGAGGATAAAACTTGGGTAATAAATGGAGAAAAAGCATATGTAGTTACTGGTCCACTTCCAGAAGGAAGTAGAAATCTATTTCTGGTAATTGCACAAACTCAACGTCCAAATGTAAAAGGTGATGCTGCGAATGGTAGCACATTATTTTTGGTTGATGCCGCAACGCCTGGTGTTAAGCTTGGAGAGCTGCATTCTACCATTAGCTGCAATGGACTACAAATGCGAAGAGTGCAATTCCAAAACGTTATTTTACCCGATAGTTGTGTAATTGGTGAACCATTTGAAGGTGGTCAGGCTGCTGAGACTTTAGTTCGGTCACAGCGTTTACGCATGTCAATGGTTGGCCTAGGCTTATCTAAAGCTATTGTTCAAGATATGGCAAAATATTGTGTGAATAATAAACAATGCGGTGTGGATTTAAAGTAAGTTTTATTGTACTCCATGTAAACATTTTAATGATTTTCTTTATGTTCCATCCAAAGAGATTTAGATATTGTACGTACACATTTATCAAAATCGCTCTGCACCACCTACGCGCTAGAGAGCATGATTTACTATACTGCTGGTCTTTTAGATGAGTTCAAAGAACAAGATGTTGGCATGGAAGTTGCAATAACAAAGGTATAATTAATTCTACAAATAAAAATAAAAAATATAATAATTAATTTAATAACAAAATTAAATTTGTAATTAATTAGTGTTACGGTTTAACGAATGTTTTCAAAGCTGCGTGCAAATGGATGGATATGTTGGGACCCAAATCAATACTCACTTCACAAGCAACTGAAAAAAGTTTACGCAAAGCTGCGCAGCTATATGCACAGGGTGAATCCATGGACACACTTAGATTATTCATTGCAGTTACCGGTTTGCAACATGCCGGCGTAAGTTTCCAATACACGCATGTTGTAAAAAGAAAATTAACAGTTTTATCTTAAATACCAATATAGGTGTTGATGCAAGACAATATACGAAAGTTCCGTAATCCGCTTTTTCATCCTGGAGCAATTTTCGATAAAATTTTCAAGACTGGCAATGTTGATGAACCCAAAACTAATATGCGTTTAGGTGAAGCTCTTCATCCATCTTTAGATACTGCGGCTCAATTGTTTGAACACTCAGTGGCACGTTTACACATGAGTGCTGAATTATTGTTAACTCGTTATGGCACTACTATCCTTGAACAACACAATGAGTTAAATCGTACAACTGAAATAGTAATGTATCTCTATGCTATGTTTGCCAGTCTTTCGCGTGCTTCACGATCCTATTGCATTGGATTGACACTGTCTAAACGTGAAGTATTGCTCGCCTCCAGCATTTGCATACATGGACACGATCGCGTAAAAGTTCTTGTAAACGAAATCTTTGTTGGTGAATATACGAATAACGATACTAATCTAAGAAATTTAGCTAATGAATTAATTAAGAACAAATCATATTTCCCAGAACATCCATTAACATACAATTTCTAAAGATCGACAATTTTATGTAAATTTACTCGTTAATAGCTGCTTTAAGTTTATGTATATGAAAATAAATTATAATTTCATTAAAAGGGTTTTAATTATTAAATAAGTTATAAATTGTATCAATATATCACATTTCTATTATATAGAATAGTTTAAAAAGGTCTATTTAAGAAAGTAGCTTTATATATTAAGCTCTTAATTTATTATTATGTATTAATGCTTGTATCCCTTTGAGGGATGTTGATCGAATCTTGATCGTCGTTCTTGGAATCATTATGTTTTCATCATAACATATACTTCAGCTAATTTCTATTAGAGTGTAATAAGTGTAGAATAATACCACCAACTTTTTAAACACCTAAATGTACATTAAATAATAAAACAACGATAGAACATTGTAGTTGTAGTGGTAACAAGCGGAGATCTATCAAGCAGTTAACATGAAAGGAACTACAACTAAATATACATGGGTTAATAGGTGATGATAATACGAGAGGGAAGCAGAATGTTTAGGATTAAAAATGGATTGGGACTGCGTTGGATTGGAATTGAAGTCAATGAAGACCAAGTCGGAAAAGCTTACTCGTTCAATGGGAGCAAATCTGCCTCTTCAATGGGGCGAAACAAAAAATAGATTGAACTCAAGTAAGTGTTCGCATTGGGACATGAAAACGTATACACAACATCATAATGGATCAAGCTACAGTTGTGGCACAAATTGAATATTGACGCATTTATGCGTGACAAGTTACTGTTTATCACATGGCTGTATCCTTATCTCATTTGAGCAAGAACAGTTCTGCTGCATGTGGAAAGCGTTGTTTTTCCCAGGTGATAATAGGTGAAGGTCGATTTAGAACTTTGTTGCAGTGCAATCGTAGTCTCGAAGAGAATACTGTATATGTTTGGCGGGCTATTAGTTCACGTTTTTATTCGATCTCACATATATTCACTCTATTGTTATAATGAATAGTTCCAAAAGGGACTATACCAGTGTTACAATAACGCCTCCTCCAAAAAAAGTTCGTAATATCCCTATTATTTTGGGAAATATGTAAATTGTTTTTGTTTTAAAAAACATTATAATTAACGCAGTATATGCTAAGTCTTAGCATAATACGACAATAAGATAATAAGCTAAGATAATACGACAAAGTAACGTTAATAAAGAAACTGTTTCTTAGGAAGATATGGACATCCCATAATTTCAGAAACATGACCATAATAGTTCCGAATCCGAAGAAGAGCTAAGAGTAAAGATAGAGATAGGCCTATGTTGCAAGATATGTTGGCAAACATTTCACCGTCTATAATGTAAAATAATCCCCAATCTCTTAATATATTAACCAAACTTCGAATTTTACCACCAAATCTATTAAAATATATATATATAGTTTAGCTTTGACTTTCGTCAAAATAAATTTACAATCATCTTGTTTTTGTGTCATGTTTTCCTGTTGGATATATATAATACATATTTTAGGTTATGTTAGGGATTAGGATTAGATTAGGTACTATTACAGTCAGTCTACATAACCAATTTACTAAAACTGATCGATCCATTGTTACAACACTATTATAATCTTCTAAATTCTGCTTTTATCTGCTATCGACTTAAATCATCTAATAATGGCTTCTTAATATTTCGAACGCTATTGAACGCTTTCGAACTTATATTCGTATCCATCTAAAAAAATTTGTATTCATGTATATGCCAATGACTTTAATCATATTTAAAACATTCCTTTGTATTACATTATTTGATTAACGTTTTTGTCTTGATCCGCCTATAATCCAATGGAATTTTTTCCCTTACTACATATAATAACTGCCTTGGTCTATTGTAAAGAATCTAAAATGGTACAGTGACCGCCTTATCAGTTGTTTTTATAATCCATCACTGATTATGAAATATTACTAAAGGTGTGAAAGGAGGTAAATAATAATCAGTACAAAATCAGATATATGTAAATATATATATAATAAAAAAGTTCGGAAATTGCTGTGGGGTGTGTTGTGTTCACTATACTTTCCAATAATTAAGCTCGTATTTATTGTCTATATTCTTCCGTTTCACATAAAAAACTTAAAATAAACCTATTTTTTTTTTATATTTATAAAAAAATCACTTCTCAGTTATGCTTCAAAGGGCTTGGATATAGGTCATACAGATGGAATCTTAAATAAATAATAAGAAACCTAGTTCGAAGTAATACTAACGCAGTCCCGGGGTAGGACAAAGTCTCTATGAATGAGAGTTGGATGGGTTTTAGTCCGTGTGAGTGAAATACTTACTTTCCGGGGCGCCTCCTCACTCATCTCCTCACCACTGTAAAAAAAACCTATTAAAATCGTTTATAATAAATTAAAAAATTATTTTTAAATTATTTTTATCTTAACTATTTCAGTTATATCTAAAAAAGTTATTATATATTGACATAAGGAATTTAATTATTATGTTGAGGCTAGTTGAGTCAGTGCACTTGAGCACTTATACTCTCTATTAACTGAGAGATTTCTTCATAACCCCTCCCTACGCCTTGACTAGGTTATTGTTTATCACTTCTTCAGACTAAGCTATAACTGACCTCAGATCTGCATATCTTCCTGAGGAGTCTGTAAGCGTTCTAAGATTCGATAACGCCTGTCAGTTTTCGTAAATAATTTCAGTGTTTTATCCTTTATGTATTTTTTGATAGGATCAATCTTGAGGTCTCTGAAGGTGTGCTCATGTACCATGGCACCTTGAAAAGTCTTCTCAGAGCCTGGCTTTGTGCAATTTCTAGATGGCGAGTAATAGTATTTGTGGCTTTGCTAAACGCTACACATCCATATAAAAGTGACGGACGAATTATTTGGTTATATATCAGCTTCCTGTTCTTAGCATTGAGATTTTAATTTTTGAATAGCGGTTGGGTGTGATGAAGAATTTAAGAATTTTAGAATTGAACATGTTTAAGCCATGTGAATAGTTTGTCCAACGTTATGTCGAGATATTTAATGCTATCCTCCCAGTTTATTACCATATCTCCCACTATCACTCCCGACAGGTTCTGTCTCCACTTACGCGTAATGAACTGAGCCTTAGTTTTTTATTATTTTTATTTTCCATTGCTGGAAATACTCTAGAATGAGGTTTATATGCTCTTGAAGTTTGTTGTTTATGTTAAGAGCACATTTTTCCGAGTACAGCATAAACGAATCGTCAGCATATAACGCCAGAGTCAAGGTACCTAACATTGGGATATCAGATGTATAAATGTTGTAGAAAGTGAGGGAAAGTGGCGATCCCTGAGGAACCCTTGCTTCTATAGTTCGGACTAATGAGAGAGCGCTGTTGATTATAGTGCGAAAAGACCTTCCACATAGGAAGCTGCCAATGCTCTTAGTTAGCCTGCCTGGAACCCCTAGATGACACATTTTTACTATCAGGCCATCATGTTAAAAGCTTTAGAAATATCAAAAAATGTTCATTACAGTCTTCTCTCTAGCTAGTTGAAGCTCCGTGTACAGGTAATTACTAAAGCCAAATTCTTTGTCAGGACAATTGCTCGTTATAGCCACTACAACATTTAATTTGCCAAGAATTACCCTTTCATCTAGCTTTCATATCGTTGGTAGTAGGCTTATGGGGATTTTAAATCTCGTGACGTATTTATTCAAGAGCAAACATTTAAATACAAAATTTACTATATATTCAAAATTTCTTTAAATAATAAAATTAATAACGTAATTAATTAATTAATTACTATATTTTATAAAACTGATTACAAAACGGTTTTCACTTACAACAAATAATCATTTAATTATATACACAATAATAATTTTTTCATAAGTGACGAAAACAAAGAATGCAAATGCCGGCAAGGGTTAAAGAGAAAAAATAGACGAAATGCTGATGTAAAAAGAGCGCAAGAAACAACAAATATCAATCCAACGGAAATTTTTTTATTGCTTTTCGCTTATCGAAGTGGAACGTCGTGACTTGCGGAGAATAAAATTATTTGTTTGGTTAAAATTAAATAGAACCAATTATTTGCGTTAAGTCGGATATGTCAGAGTTGGAAATGTGTTATTAACTATTAATAAGATTAAATATACAATTAATTGAAACTAATATAAAATAAACAATTGTGTTTATCTATTTTGTTTAAATGATGGTGATAAGTAAAAATTAAAACAAAACTATTATCACTCATTATTATTCAAATGTGAAAACATTTTTCATTCCGTGTGAATAATGGAGCAAAAATTGAAAATTTGTGAAACTGTACTTAAGTGCAACAAATCCTAGAGTTGCGCGTTAATATAAAGAAAAAAGAAAAAGTACTTTCAATACCCCACTCCTTTCGAACGGGATTACAATTGTCACACGGTATCCAATAGATACATGACAAACAGCAACAACAACAGCAATAGAAGACTATAAGCAAAGAATATATATTTTTTTTTGAACAGCAATAAAATCACTTCAGGAAAAATCAATAAAGCCGTGTTGAAATTACCGCCCGACGAAACTAAAGGAAAAACTACAGGTTAGTAAAAATAAATGAAGGAAATAATTATTAATTATGAAAAAATTAGTTCTGTTGCGCGCAGAGATTTGTTGCTTTTAGTGAATTTATATACAAATAATTAAGCTTTGAACTATTTGTATCAATTAGTAAGTTATGTGTGAATACCTTTTATATAAAAATAATGCATATGTTGCGTTTACATATGTTTTTTTTTATACAAATATCAAATGTATATTAATCATAGGTGATAATAAAATTAATAAAATAAAAGAATTAAATAATATTATACAACATAAGTTAAAGTGATCAGTTTATAACATATGTGTAAAAATAAATATAATGATTTTCTAATACATACATATAGTATATTAAAAAATTTAATTAAAAATGTGTTAATAAATTGTTTATAAAATTTCGTTGTCATTAAACAGCTGTTAATAAAAACAAAACAAATAAATATAAACCAAAAGAAATATACAATCACTGGAAATGTTTGATATGCTCAGAGAATTTGCAAAAACAGAAACAAAAAGTAAAACTGATATGAAACTCACCCTCTTATAAATTTTAACATTTGTTGCAAAACAAAAAAAATTTGAATAAAACGCTCGCATTGATTTATTTTATAAAAGGTTTTTTGTATGACAAGCATAGTAATTAAACAGATATTGTTTTAATAATTAAATACGTTTTTAATTTAATATCAAAAATCGTATAAAATTTACAATATACATAATAGCACAATATATATTATTAAATAGTTATTAAACAAATATAATATGTAGCATTAAATTAAATACATTTTTAATTTAATATCAAAATATCATATTAAATTTCCAATATACATAATAGAACATTATGTGTTATTAAAATAAAATATTAAGATATATATTATTTTTAATTTTTAAAAACTTTTATAGCATGAATTTAATGCTATTTTTATAGGAATAATAATTTAAGTTCGACAAGAGGTAAAAATTCACTGAGCATATTATTAATTAAAAAATTATAGTGAAGTGGCCGCATACGTTTCTAAAAGTGGTGTTTTAATAACTACTTTACTACTAAACTAAAACTAAAAATAAGTATTTCAAAAGTTATTTCGCTTTTGTCCTTTTATAATAAAATATCAATATACAATAATAAATTCCACCCACTTTTGACTTAAACACATATATTATATAAAATTGTTTTTAGTTTTTAATAGACTTTTAATCTATTAGGTAATATGTTTAAATCAAATAAATTTTGATACATAAATATTCGTATTAAATAACAATTTATATTATTGGCCGTGGAAAATTTAATCATTACGCGAAGTTTTCTTTAATAATTGTAAAAGTCTTTTGTATTATTGCAACAAAATAAAAAAAATTTGTTTTCTTTGTTTTGGTATGACATAGATTTACATTTTTTATGGGAAATATTTAATGGAGTTCAAAATATATGTATACAAAAAAGTTAATCTTGTGTGGTTTAAAAAAAAAAATTATGTGTGTAGAATTCAACACCCTAATGTTTAAATTAAAAAAAAAATTTAAGTATGCATTAAATTATATATATAATTATCAGTTAAAATATCCAAAAACACATATTACAAAAATAAAGTTATTTCGAGCTCTCATGCTATATTATTATAGCACGTTTACACTACCGCAATTAGCACATTACTGCAATTAACTTTATATGTTGCAAAATTTTGATACAAAAACTTTCTTGTTAATTGGGTTAAATTAAAACAATTATTTCATAATTGGGAGAATGATATGTTGAAACATTCTAATGTTACGATGTTTTGTTCACTTGTATTGATACAAACAGAAAATATCACAAGGAATTATATCCAAAAATAAATTTAAATTAAAAATGCACAATAAAGTTTTGCTAATGTTAAATAGACAAATTAAAATGTAATATTATAATTGTTTAATTTTTTATGATTTGCTATCATTAGATATCTTCAACATTTTTGTGATATTTGCTTATCATTTGAATTTTATTTTTTGTTTCGTTATACTGTACTTTAGTCAGTTAAATTTAAACACAAATTTTATTATGCCGTTATAGTTAATTGTGGTCCAATAATTGTATAGTGTAAATATGATCTTAGAAGCACAAATGTCTCATTTCGGCATATGCTACATATATTGCCCTATTATAAAAATTTTTTATGTTAGCTTCTTATATAAACCCATTATTCGCCTTTGAGTTATAATTGTGATGTTGTTTCTTTTTTAAGTTTAATATATTTCGCTATGTTTTAATATTTGTTCTAAATATTACGATAAGTTCATTATAAATTCTTTCAATAATTGTCGATCATACTCCATTTCTATTGCTGTGACAGTAATTTCTTATTTGATTTTGTTGTTCTTAATGTACTAAAGATCTTAAAATGACCTGCATCTTTTTACTGAGTACTATATTTTTACAACGTTGTTTCCACTTCAATTGGTATATAACTTAGTACTTCTACGACTAACATTCAAAGTGGTGTATAATTACGTATTTCAAGGACTCCTCAGTCAATACTGTACTTTTACAGAAATTATTTTCTACAATGTTATTCGTATTTCAAATGGCATACAAAAAATAATTTAAGCTTATTATCTACAATATTTTTTAGCTGAAAAAAAAGATAATTCTTTACAATTCTTAATTTAATTGATTATTGAATTAATTTGCAAATTAAAGGATTATTGCTCAAATGCGTTTTGGGAGTAGTTTCCCTAAAGTCTAATCGACCATAACGATTGTTCTATTATCAGCAGCCGGTGCTACTAACTCATCTAACAATATGTACCCTTTTGAAAATGTGTAGAGCAACACACCTGGCATTGGTACTAGTGGATAAGACCTACCCTTTAGTAAATTGAATCTGTTTCTTTCGTTTAAAATTTAAAAATTCTTTAATGAATGTGGTTTTAAGTGGAGTTTAAACTTATTTCGTACCATTCGGATAGCTAGGTTTTAATTAATAAAAGTAATTGCCATAATTTTTTTATTTTAATTAGGAACTATATCAGATTGATTTCTTTCAATTATCATATAAATTATTGTTTAAAAATTTCTACAAAAACTTGATACGTGTTTCTTATTGTTAATAAAGTGTTTAATAAACTCATTTAAGCCGAATTAAGTTAAATCTTATTAGGTCGAAGTAATAATTAATTATAAATAAATTTATTTCATAATTTATATATGAAATGAATGAAAAAACGAAAACACTTGGGATATTTTTATATGTAACATAATTTAATAAAATAAATTAAATAAAAAAAAATATCTTTAAGTGATCAAATTATTTATTTTTATAAATTTTATATAAACTAAATAGAAAAAATACACAATTTAACACAATTTAATAAAATAAAAAATGAAAGAAAATTTATATATTTAAAACAATTTAATAAAAAATTATTTAAATAAATATGATTAAATAAATTATTAAATAAAAAATCATAATAATACTCCGTCCAGATGAAAAAGTCAAATAAACTTCTAAATGTCGGCGATATTTGTTTAGAAACTATATAATAATTTTGTTTTTTAACAAAATTTAATTAATTTAATTTTTAAATAAATTTAAAAAAAAACTAAAAACAATTTTTTAAAAAGTTTATTATTTAACCACTGGTCAATTAGCCCGTTAAAAAGCAAAATTATTATTAAAAATATTTTTTTATTAAAACAATAAATGATTAGAAAATATATAGTAAAAATAGAAAGAAAAACTAATTCATAATTTTTTTATGTTCAAGATTTACATAAACTTTTTTAAAACAGAAATATATAAAGACAAGGAAGACAGAAGACAAAATTGTAAATAAAATTAATTGTAAATAAAAGAACTTATTACTTAGCCCGTGTGCTAGTTCGAGTAAATTGAGGAAATTAGTAAATTATGTCGGTATGGCAGCGAATGTTGGTATTTACCAAAATTTCCAGTAGGGTAAATTAGATAAAAATTGGGTAAATTAGGTGTTACCATTGTGAAAATTTTATAAGATGTTTAATAAATAAATAAATAAATTTGAAAACTTTTAAACAAAAATAATAAACAAGTGCAATAAATAAATAAATAAATATTTACATAAGTGCAGTGCAAAAAATCTCTAGAAAATTTCAATTTACTTTATCTCAATTTACTTGAACTGGTCTTACTCTAACACGGCCTTACTAAAACTATAAAGAAAAGTTGTGATGAGTTCACATTATTCCAAAAAATAAATAATATAAGTTTCCTATAAATAATAAGTTTCCTATAAATAATAAGTTTCCTATTTAACATTCACATATGTCTTTTCCACAAATAATTACAAATATTAAAAATATTTTTTATTTTGATTTATTTAAGACTTATTTTTATAGAATTAGTGTCGACTTTAATACTTATGTGTTTTAAATTTTGCCGGGCTTTAAGTCGTGTTTTTAGATTTAATGTTTTATATAATAAATTATTAAACAAATATATAAAATATATAAAAATTTATAAAAAACCAACTTACGATTAAATAAGGATTATTTTTATATTAGAATATAAGATTACAACAGCTATAAAGAAAAGCTGTGAACTCATAATTATTCCAAAAATAATAAGTTTTCTATTTAATATTCCATGAAAATGATTATTTCAACAAATAATTACAAACATTAAAAATACTTTTTATTTTGATTTACGAGTATTTAAGGTTTATTTTTATAGAATGTTTGCTTAGTATCGACCTCAATACTTATGTGTTTTAAATTTTACCGGGCTTTAGTTCGTGTTTTTAGATTTATATTTTTATATAATAAATTATAAAACAAATATATAATATATATAAAAATGAAACTTACGATTAAGATTACTACAACTATAAAGAGAAGGTGTGAACTCATAATTATTCCAAAAAATAAATAGTTTTTTATTTAACATTTACAAAGCCTTTTCAGCAAATAATTATAAACATTGAAAATTTTTTTTATTTATATTATATATACCTATATCAGATATTATAGATATGATAATATATATA